CGTAAAATTTTATTTTTAGTCAGTTTCAATAAATGTAAAATAAATTATTGTATCTTTAAAATTTACACTTAATCTATCAATAAAGTTTATTGGAGCAAGACTCCGTTGGATATAAAAAAAAAAAAAAAAAAAGTATTAATCAATACCAATTTCGCTTACCGCTTATAGTATCTATGTTGTGTATTTTTGGATATTAATTCGGTAATCATGCAGCTACTGAATCACGACTGTTTTTTTATCTCTTTATTTCTTAGTTTAAAAAATGGAAACTAAAATTTACACAGAAATATTGATTATGATGTTCAATCAACTAAAGATTCATATTCATCATTATTAGTTAATCGATTCTGGTGTAAAGTTACAATACCTATACTTTGGGAACTACCTTTTGGTCGTTACGCGAAACACAACTTGAAGAAGAAAGCATTATGTATTCGTACTTATATATCATGTATGGATATTGAAGTTAGAACTTTTCTTACTCAAAATGGATTTGATTTATCATCATCACCACCTCAAGTCACTTTTGATTATCCATCATTTACTCATGATTTTAGAATTGATAATTTGTATTTTTTAGTATGCAAACTTTGTTCAATTAATTCGATAATATAAGGTGGTAGTAAAAATCATCAGTATTTTTTAATTATAAATTTTTTAATTGTATTTGTAAATACATTGGAAAAGAAAATGTTGTTCAAATTTGTTTTTAATCGATATAAATTTCTTAGATGGAATTCAAAGCAGAGATGCATAAGGCGATAATTGTAAATTGATTGATTTATTCGATTTTGATAATTATATTCTTGTTATGTATTATTTAATAATAAGTTAATTGCGATTTCATTTTTGTAGTAGTGGTCCTATTCTTTAAATTTGAAAAATTTGAAGTTATTTATATTTTCTTCAAAAATAATTCCTCATTATTAGTATAACGTTAACTTTATTCTTGAGAATAGTGAAAAATAAGAATTGTAAATTTTTTTTCTTTAAAAAAAAATTACTTTTTTTCTTTTATTAATAATCATTTATTTAAATAAAATAACTAATATTGTTCAATTTAATTATATAGTAATATATCTTTACCAATAATCATTATACTAACAGTATTACTAAGATTAAAAGGCTGAAATATTGGCCTAAATAATTATTTTTCTAATTAAAAAAATTTTTTTTTAAATTTTCCAAACAAAAAATGTCTCCATTTGTTTTCTAGTTTTGAATCCAAAATTAGAGATAATGAAGAAAGTCTTTGAATTTTGATAGATTTGTCTGTGGCGTTTATAATTACTCTTGTTTTTCCTAGCATAAGAAAATTTGATAAAATATGATGAAAATTTCTATCAATCAATGAGCCTGATACATATTCAGACGAACACTGCGTAATTTTGGTTGAAATTGTTAGGTTATTTTCACCAAGAAAATAATATAATTTATATTTCATGGAGCCTGAATTCTGTTCGTTAATATTTTTCAATATCTACATCTAGTCATTTTTGCTTCTGTATTATCAGTTATTAAACTTGTTTGTTCATGAAGATTCAATGCAACAATTTTAGATACAAAAACCTATACATGTATTTTTTTTTTTTTTTTTAATTAAAAACTAATGTATAATAGTAAATTGCTATCTCTTAATTAAACAATAAATACCTTAATTAATTAGTTTCCATCACAAAAAAATCCTGCTTGAATATCAACAATATCTTCGTTACCAAAACGATATACAGTATATCTTTTGGATAGAAAGCTGTAATGTGAAGAAAAATATTAGAATTTTGATATATGATAAATTTAATGAATCAACTAAAATCAGATACAAAAAATTTTAACTTCCGTATAAGGATATTTTTATAAATAATAAGAAAAATTTATTCATACTATTCATTTATTTAATCGATTAAAAAAATGAAAATTCGTGATCGACGTCTATTTTGTGAAAGAAAATTTTTTCCTCGCACGAAAGAAAAAGATAAAGAAATAAATTATTAAAATACGTTTTTTATCTTTTTTTAAAATAAAAATAAAAACAATTAATAATAACAAATATTATGCCAAATGTATATTAAATAAAAAAAGTAAAATAAAAACAAAAAAATGACTGAATTATTTAATTGTGTGACACAACACAAACTCTTATTTTCTTATGTTACGCGTTGAATCATGGATGCGATACGTTTATTTAGATAAAAAAAAAATTCTCTTTATTTCTTAGGAAAAAAAAATGGCAACTAAAGTTCCTACAGAAATATTAATTAAAAATTTAAATAATAATGCTCGTTCAACTCAAAATTTGTATTCAACATAATTAGTTAATCGATCTGGTGTATAGTTACTATACTTATACTTTGGGAACTACCTTTAAGCCAAGAATATCGTGAATATGATAAGTTGAGGAAGAAAGAATCATGTATTTGAACTTATATATAATGTATGGATACTCATGTTAGAACTTTACTTACTCAAAATGGATTTGATCTATCATCATCACCACCTCAAGTCACTTTTTATTATCCATCATTCACTCATAAATTTATAATTAATAATTTAGTTTATTTTGTTTCCAGATATTTACAGCAAATTATTGGTCAGATTAAGATAATAATAGCAACAACAATAATAACGAAGTCGCCATCGCCAAATTGAGAATATTATTTCGTGAGATTATGTAAATTAATAATAAATCGTTGTTCATTTCTGGATTATTTTAAATTGAAAGTTTCTATATTATAATGACTCAATTGGCTCAATTCTCAAGTTTCCCGAAAGTATTTAATAAACAAGCAATTTTTGGAGTACCTAATATTTGTTTGCACCTAATTTCTATGAATCTTGGTGTGGTGATTATGATGACTATGAGAGACCTATTAGAAAACAACGACAGAAAAATTTTTCTATTGTTGTTTTTTATATTTAAAATCTATTAAATAAATAATTCAAATAAGTGTAATTATATAAATAAAATTTTTCACTATAGTTGAGAAAAGAATCACATTTTATTAATAATTTAATAAATAAAATGATAATTAATAATAATAATAATAATAATAATAATAATAATAATATAATAATCAATATACTTTATATCTCACTCCAATTCAATGGTAAACAAAAAATAAACTGGAAAAGTAAACATCCGGAAAATTAAAGTTGTAGATAAAAATTCCGACATGGACAGAGACAATCGATAACGTTAGAATATTGCTAAAAAGGGAGAAAACTATTTAGGTATTAAGAAAAGAATTATAGAAAGAAACAAACTTCTTGGACAGTAAAAGAAAGAGCCTTTTAAACAAAAGACCTAAAATAGTAACGGGATAGTATAAAAACAATCATTAATTAACAGATTGAAATTTTAACAGACCCTGAAGAATAAAACAAGAAGTTAAAAATGTATTTAATCAATTGGAACATTCAAAAAAATGTCGAAGATTTTAATCAATACCCAGAAAGTGATTAATAGTTTATTCTTTTTATTATTAATTACAATTACATGGTAAAAACTTAACAGATAGATTTAGACAGAGCGGACGCATTTAGGAATTATAACAAGAATCAGACTACAACAATTCCAGAATTTTTATAGAGAAATGAATCTTTTTTGGAAATGGACAAAATAATAAAAGAACGGTTTAATTTAACAGCAACAATAATAAATTTGTCCAGGATAAATAAAATAAAATGGAAAACCACCAATCAAGGTGACCGAATAACCTTGGATGAAAGATACCTATGAAAACAATCTGGGAAGAAAACTATTTATTAAAGTTATAAAACAAAAGAAGATTCTATACTTCGAACAAATAATGGTCCTGGAACTTAAAAGGATCTTGGATTGGCAGCCAATCATACTAATAGAAAAGGTATAACTCCCAAATGGTTCAAATATTAATAAATTTTATCAGAGTATGACTCCATTGAAAAAAAAACTTTATATCTTAACATTTATCCAAATTTCTTTTGCTTCTTTCTTAATATTTTTAATATTTTTCAATAATTTATTCACTCAATTCTAATACATAATTTTTATTAGTAGTACTAAAATAAAAGTCAATTGTGTTATAATGAATTAAAGGATTTTATTGGACTCCCATTATATCTTTTTTAGATTATAAATATGTTGTAATTTGAAAAAAAAATTCATGAATTCTATAGTTTAATTTTAATGTTACTTATAAAAGACTTTCTAATGCTAGATACTCTTGAATGGATAAACTCTAAAAAAAAAAGAAACGGACGAATTTAAAAGTAGTGAAAAAATATATTATATATGACAAGGTAAGTAGCTATAACCAAACCAACTAAGAGGATAGGAATAAGTCAAATAAATGACATTCCATTTATAGAATTCTTTTGGATATTTAAAGAATTTAGAGAAAGTATTTATAATAAAAAATGTGTAAATATTATGCAAATATAAAATTATTAAAAATGATAATTCAATTATGTCATGGCTATAAATGAAAATATTTTAATATGATGCTGGAAGTCTATACTCGACAATTGTTTAATTAAAATATTTTTTAAATTAAATAAAATTAAAGAAAGTTATATTTATTTTTTTAAATAAAATATTTTTAGTTCCATTTTTTCCTATTTTCTTTAAAAAATTCTTGTTTTTATCAATTAGGTAGATCGAAAAAAATCTATTATCTATTATATATATATATATATATATATATATATTTTATTTTTTATTTTTTTTTTTTTTTAAAAAAAAAAAAAAAAAAAAAATCCAACGTAGTCTTGCTTCAATAAACTTTTATTAATTAATAAATTAGGTGTAAATTATCTATTATATATTATTATTATTATTATTATTTTATATTATAAATAAAAAAATTTGTGTAACGCGTCACAACGGGTAAAGAAATAAAAATCATTTTTTTTTCATAAGAGGGGGTAGGCTAAAGCGGAGTAGAATCATGTGAGGTGATTCGGGTTAAAGCGGAAGTGTGACCGTATCACATGTAT